GTGGGCTAGCAGAACATTCTCTACAATACTTCTCCCTTTGATGAAAGCTGACTGGTTCTCACAAATAAGCTTGGGAAGTATGGGTTAGAGTCTACTGGAGATCACTTTGCTAATCATTTTAGATATCACATTAGTGAGGTTTATGGGCCTGAAAAGATAACAAGAGATTGCAGAAGAAGATTTGGGAATAAGAGTTATGTTGGAGCATTTAAAATAATTGGGGAGATCCAAACCTCCGAAGAAACCTTGGACAGCCTATACAATATCATCTTTAATGATCTTCCATGATTTCTTGTAAAAATCTGCAGAAAATCCATCAGGTCCAGCAACTTTGGAGTTATCAATGGAAACCAGAGCAGACCAAATTTCCTCTTCCCTAGGAATAGAAGTCAGATCCAATGCCCTCATGAAGTTCTCATCCCTGCAAAACAAATCATGCTGGATGGGGGGCCTAAGATCAGATGGTTGTTTAAAGAGTGTTTGGTAGTAGTTAACAGCACTAGCAGCAATCAAGTCTTCAGAATGGAGCCACTTACCATCATTCTACTTAATCTTATGTATTGTGTTGCACTTTCTTCTAAACTTGATGCATGCATGAAAGTATTTTGAATTTCTATCCCCTTCACAAAATCTGGCCTTAGCAGCCATTTTGGCAAAGAAATCCTCTTGCATACAGATGACATTCATCAAATTTTCATTAGCAACCAATAAATCCTTCTCCACCTCAGGGTTACTCTCTAATTTAGCCTCCAACTTAGCAACAGTCTTTTCAGCCTCCACAACATTTAAGTTGATATCACCCACTGTTTTCCAATTCCAGTTAGATAAATGTCTACCTAACTTCTTTTGCAGTTGCCATATCTTAATCAGAGGGTTGAGATGGTGACAGTCCCTCCAAACTAATGAGACCTGATTTAGGAAGTCATGGTGGGAGGACCACTTATTGAGGTATCTAAAACTTGGCTTGTGCTTAACATTTGATGCTGAAATATTCATAAGTAGTGGTCCATGATCTGATCGTGTCATGCTGAGATGGTGCACAGAAGTGTGAATGAACTCACTAAACCACATGGAATTCACAAAAATTCTATCTAGCCTTTCCCAAGTTTGACCCCTCCTCCAGGTAAATTGTGGACCAGAAAAACCAAGGTCATACAGGCCAGCCAAGTTGCTTTGATCATTGAAATAATTCATCTTGT